AGCTCACGCGTGTCACACAGACGGGCAGCCCCAGAGAGCCAGGCATGCCCTCAGGGCTGGCTCTGCATGTCTCCCTTCCAGCCCCCATGGCAGCAGGTTCTCCCCATTCTTCACAGCTGCACACAGACACTCTCCCAAGGCTCCACAGCCCGCAAGGGATCTGCTCACAGCCTGCTGGCCTCTACTTTGTCTTTCAGCTCCAGCCTGTTACTGCTCCTCCCATGTGCTTTCAGCCTCTCTTCACCAGAGGACAAGACATCACACCTCAGAAGCAAAAGACACTGTGCAACCTGTCAGTGCTGTGGTATTTTTCCCTGTCCTGAGAGCAGGAAGCCATTGAACAGACAACTCTCCAGGGGAAGACATAAGCATCAAACTCTTAATAGGACATGAAAATGCCACAAGCGATCACTTCGTGTTTTCCCAAGCACACGGACTTATTTCTGGCTTTTTGTATTTTTAAACCAACTTTTGAAATCAGTTTCAGGAAGCCAGATATATGAGGTTAACTCACGTCCCAGCCTTACCTGTCTGCAGATACATGCAAGTGCTTCGAGATGAGATCACACAGCATCTTGGTGTAAGTCTTGTTCTGCTGCCCTCCTATTTTGCCGATGCTGTAGAGGCTGCAGAGTGCGCAGGGATCGGTGGAGCCCCCGAAGGACATCATCTGATCAGGTATGATGTGCACAGCTATGTACTGTGGGAGGAAAACACAGTTACAGCGTGTCTGACCTGTCCTCCCTTGACACAAACTTGCTTTAGGGACCAACTTTAAACAGTGCAGTTGTATTGGGGTCAGGCTACTCATCAGCGCTGCCCTCTGCACCCTTCCCAGATCCAGGGGAGGCATCAGCAGCTCAGGAGGTCGCAGCCGCGGGGGCTGCGGGGACCCTCGTCCCGGCTCTCAGCTTTAGGCACAAGGCTGTGTGTGCAAAGCCGCCGGCACCACGGGCACTCCTGCCCGCCACAGCACCGCGGCACGGGGAGATAAAGGCCCGAAATCTGCGAGTGCCAGAGCTCACATCCCCAAATCACGGGCTGAGCCACCGGGCCTGCCCGAGAGCCTGGCAGCGAGTCGGCCTTATCGAGCTCCGGCGGTCCGGCCCGAGGGGGCCGTGTCGGATGGCGAGACCACCGGGACCTGCCCGGAGGGAGGCACAGCCCGCAGGAGCGCTCCGTATCTGCCCAAGCCCCCGCCCGGGCGGGTCCGTGCCGCCGCGCAGCTCCGCCGCTCAAATCCCGACCGCCAGCACAGGCGCAGCACATCCCCGGCTACGTGAGCGCCGAGCTCCTGCAGGCCGGGCTGCCGCTGCGGGCTGGCGGCCTCCGCACGGGCAGGGGCCGGGCAGCGGGAGGCCTGGCATGGCGGGATGGAACGGGCACAGGCCCCTTCCCCCGCAGCAGCGGGGAGGGCACGGGCACAGGCTCCCTCCCCCGCAGCAGCGGGGCGGCGGCCGCGGCCCGCCCGCCCCAGGGCCCCAGAGAGCGGGCGCTGCCCCGCCGGCGCCTCCCCGCGCCGGGCCCGCCGCCCTCCGCCGCGCACGTGTTCGCCCCGCTCCCGGCCCGGGGCGGCCCCGCCGCCCGCCCTCACCTGCGCGGGCTTGCCGGTGGCCTTGGCCAGCTGCTGGGTGAGGTCGCCCAACAGGCTGTCGGGCACGGCGTCCTTGCAGACATTGGTGTAGATAGCGAACATGGGCATGGTGGCGGCAGCGGGGGCGGCGGGGCCGACGGCGGGAGCAGAGCGGCGGGAGCAGCGCACTGGAGCGAGGAAGCGGCGGCGGCGCTGCTTTTAGTGCGCGGGGCTGCGCCGGACGGAGAGCGGCCCCGCCCGGCGGGGAGGGGAGGGAGCGGGGCGGGGGGACACGCACACATCCCGCCTCCCTTCAGCCGCCCTCGCTGCGGCGTGCGGAACCTCCCGCAGCAGCCTCCTCGCCCCAGCTCTCCCCTCGCTCCGCTGTTATTAGTTCGATTTGTTGCTGCCACTGGACATTTTTTGAGGGTTTGTTGCAGGCTGCTTCCTGGAACGGAGTTCCAGGCAGTTCACACATAACCTGGTGTCAGCACACATGTGGTACCGCCGCTGTAGTACGCCCACCGCTTTCTGCAGGATTAGGGCCGGCGAGGGATATAGGCCCTAGCCTGGCAGTTGCAAAAAGGGGTACTCGCCCTTGCTTCGGAGGGTATCTTTATTTTCTCAAAATAAAGGCACATTTGTACGGTTTTTGGTTTAACTGTGTGCATACCTTTAACTCGATGTAAGCAGAAACGTTTGCCTTGCTGGCATATTAATTATTAATTATTTTCTATAACGTTTTTCAGTCAAATTAAAAATTATCTATTACTCGTCAGCATCCCCGTTTTCACATACTTTTTTCTTCTGGAAAAAAGTAGAGGTGATTTTTTGTTTGCTTAAGAACGAAGCGGTGCGTGTCTATTCGGAGGTGAGGGGCAGCAGAGCCGAGCCGTATGCTGGGCTGTGTGATGCGATGCACGTAGGCTGCCAGGGCACGGCTCCCCACGCTGCCTCTTCCCTGCCCCGACGGCAGCAGCGCTGCTCTGCTGAGCCAAATGACTCACAGGAAGGCTAAAGGGGATCAGGCCCAGAGCCTCTCCACCCAGACATTTTACACACAGGGATCAAGCACCTGCTGATTTTTAACAAAGTCCCAGCCACTGCTGCTGCTACAGAGCTTGACCATATGTACGTCATACCCATGAGCACATATAGCCCTGAATGAGGAATAAGGGATGATGTCACATAGGAATACTTAGGAGTGACACAGACTGTAATGTGGAGAACGGGAGCACTTCTTTTTGTAGTGATTAACAGTGCTTAAGAACAGCGATTAAGAACTGATTAAGTTTTCTTCCTTGGATATCCTCACCTCAGCTCCTTACCGTTGCATACTTATTGCACTTATTCCTCCCATCCTCCTGCCTCCCAGATTTGTTGCATGGAGGTGGGGTGGGAATTCTATCCGTGCAGGGAGAAAAACTTGAGAGCAATGTCACCACATGGTGTGCTCGCTCTGTGGCCTGCCAGGCCAAATGGCAGCCCCTGGCCATGCTGCCACACAATGGAGAGATATCTGCAATGTTGTTCTCCTTTGCCTCCCTGACCAAGGAAGAAGCAGTGCATACATTTTCATAGCTTCTAGAGATGCGTTTTTAGCAGTTTACCAAACACCAGTGTACTTGTGCTCACCCGTTCCTCAAGTGATTGCTCCACACTCCTACATTCATAAATCATTTCTGGATGCACAGCACCTGTTTTTAAAAACAACTGCTTGTAATTAAAATAAGAACAATGAAGAAATGTGTCTAAGAGCAAAAAATTGAAAAGTAAAATGTTTTATGGAAATATGCAATGATGTGCCAGAGGCAGAGGCAAAGGCATCTTCTACATTCCCTATTAGAGAGTATAAGGACTGTTAGCAAGCAAAGGTGGTCTCATTTGTACTTGTGCCATGAGGTGCCTTAGGAACACACATTCTGGGGTTTGGATGCTCCAAGTAGAACTCTGAAAGCATCCACCATAGAGAGGCCTCAGCAGATATGTGGGGCAGGCTGAAGCCTTTCCTGGAGACTGACTGCAGAGGGCTGGGGCATCCATGGGTTGCAGCTGGACACACCCAACTGCACCACAGCCAAAACCTGAGCACAGGGCATCTGGACCACGGAGGAGGAGCCAGGAGAACATCAGAGAATGCTGGTGCTGTGGCTCCAGGAGCAGCAGAGGCAGCATTCTTTGAGTGAGTGGCTCTATGAAAAAGGCAGATTGATTTCTGGAGAAGGAAACTGCCCCCCTGTGGAAGGTCCTGCTGCGTTTAGGGGCCATTCTGCCAAAAGAATACATACCTCATGTCATGTCTTCCTTCCTCAAGGGGCAGCTCCACATGGCTTAAAGTGGCATGAACAATATTTAATAAGATATACTGTATTTAGACGCCAAATAACACATTGTTTTACTGGCTGTGCTACTTTGATTCACCAAAGCAGCTTTCATTTGTTATCCCAGCAAAGCATTTTTGCAAGTTGAGGTGCAGGCTTGTATTTAAAACCCATGTCTGCAAAGCAAAGCTGTGATAGGAACAAAATGGGGTGTTCACAACAGAGCTCAGAACAGGGGTGTGATAGGGTTTGCTCTTCCAGAAAAAGGTCACAATACACCTAACTGAGATTTTCAGGAAATTTATCTCTACTCAATCTTTTATTTTAGTTTGGAAGCAAACGATCTTATCTGACCAAGGGCTTGAATAATAAATATTTATATTCCTTTCATAATTAATTCACCACTTCAGCCTCTGGGAATGGCTTGCTGTGCCTCTGCCTCATTCTGAGCCGTGCTCTAATCTTTGCTGTCACTACAGATTGTTCAATGGATGAAAAGGGGAGGGCAGAACAGGGAACAGTGGTTTTTTCCACTCACTCCTTCTGCCTATGCTGAGCCCTGGGAGACTCACAGCACAGGCTTTTCTGCTAATCAGCTAGGTGTCCACGTAGTGTTAGAGCTAAGGAGGACCCAGACTGCAATCCATCCCTTTTAAATAGGGGGCAATCATTTCTTTCCTCCTTTTGAAGGAAGGTTCATATGCCACATTTATAGTCACATCTATTGACTTAAATGTGTCTTGAGATCAGATCAAGATAGTTCCTTTAAATTTGGCCAGGCTCTTGAGCATGAACAGAGCAAAGACATATCCAAATGGAGTGTTCATCATCATCATCCATGATCAAACTGCTTTTAAAAGAAAAGCTTCTGTTACAACTCTTTTGAGAAGGCACTTTCCATCTCAGACACAGGTCTTTCCAGAGTAACAAGATGGTCTCAGTCATCAGGTTTCTGCTGGATTTTTATTTAAGCAGCAGACAAGATGTTAAACAGCAGTGGGTAGCAGCAACTATGGTGCCATTGCCTTTTGCATTTGTCAGGTACATGATGAACTGCAGTACTTAAATCAGGCTGAGGGGTCAGGAATAAACTTTTACCACTTAAGGGCACCTCAAGCAAAGGTGTTGTTGTTCCAGCCTACGTTGCCAGGGCTGATGTTGAAGAAGCTGACGTAGATTCTGAAAGGGAAGACAGACACCGTTAGGTGCTGAGAGCAGAGTGCTTCAGGGTGCTCCTGCAACAGGACACACAACCATGCTGTAGACTATCCCACAGGGTTTTACACTTCTCAGGCCTTGCACTCTCTTCTCCCTGCTCCTTTTAATGCCTTTTGTGCATTCTGGAGTTCTCAGTGATTTTCTACTTCTTGTTTTAAGGAGCTCTCAGGATACGGTGTTTTATTTGCAGTTATTTCTGGAGCAGACTGGCACACCTTCAGGAAAAGGACTAGAAAGGCTTTTATGCAAGTGGAAGCTCTTGCAGTTGACTTCCACATGTACCCCACAGGTAGTAGGGAAGTGCTGGTACATGTCACTCAAGTTATCATTATAATAACAAAGTTATTGTGTCTATACCTGGGCTTTTGCACATGAGATCTGTGGGCATATGCAGTGCCTGAACCCACATAATTTTAACTAAGAAATTTTACAGTTTCTGGACATCAGCATTGTGGCTCATGCAATTGCTCCTTTCTTCTTTTTAGTTGGAGAGTTGTTCCAGTTGACTCGGCATTTAATCTCTTCAAATAGCACATTAACAAAGAACACCAGAGGAAAAGTCTGGGATGAATAGTTTTCACAATCTATGGAAAGTCATGTCAGACAAGTTGCTGTGTGGACTCACCTCTCAGATGGTATTTTCAGCTCTTTGTTCAGCAGATCACAAAGCAATTTGGAGTAGACCTTGTTCTCCTGCTCCCCTATCTTGCCAATGCTGTAGAGAAAGCATATAGCACAAGGGTCTGTGGAGCCACCGAAGGACATCATCTGATCAGGAGAGATCTGTATTGCTAGATACTGTTGGAAGAAGAAAAGGAATATTATTTTCCTTTGCCATATTAAGAAAAGTTTCGAAAATCCAGGAAGGTATTTATGTACCTGAACTGCAGTGAAAATAGGTGCATGCTTTTCACGTGTTGACGTCTTACTGTCTAGATTTGCATTCTACTCCAAGACAGTCACTGCTGTGTCAGGCTACAAAGACACCATACTATTTAGGCTTGGGAGTCTTGGTTCCTAGTCCAGGTGTTCCAGGAGCTCAGTGACCTGCAACATCTCCAGAACCTCTTCCAAGCCACCAGGCCCTCCCTGCCCTGTGGGAAGGTCAGGGATGGGGGGGTGCAGTTGCATTGCTGCCGCACTGCGTTCCAGAGAGATTTTGCACCTCACTGGCTCCTGCTGCAGTCTTCCCTGCTGAGGTAAATGTGAACTGACACAGCAGAGGTCTAAATCAACATCCCCCTCATTAAACAAAATACAGCCTAATCCTACTTTTGTTCTTGATATCAGGAAAAATAGAAGAAAGTATCTATGTTAATATTAATGACCAGCCTGCGATTTTCCCTGCTGCTAATACACAGTGTCAGATCCACACACTGGGGAATCTGGGGATCAATTCCTTTGGCATCCATCTAACTTCTGTCCTGTTCTTACCCACGTTTATTAGCAGCGCATCGTTGGAACTCAGCAGCAATTAACCCTCTTGGTAAAACAAGCCAGCCTGAGTACCAGGAGTTGTCTGGGTAATTAGTCTTGGCCATCATTTACAGCTTGTTTGGGTGCAAGGTGCATCAGACCACAGCAGTCCAGGATAAGCCAAGGAGATCATACTGAGGTACCGCTTGCTTGGCCTTGTTCTCCCCTGCCTGGACACTGTGCAGTCTCAACTTTATGCCAAATGTAGGTACATGTATGTCTTTAACATCTACCCTGGAAGCAGGTTATTATTATTTAAAAAAAATAATAAAATCAAGCTAAAGCATTAATGGGCATTATTTTCTTCTTAGAGCAGTTTGAAAATATTTGAAACAGTTCATCCAGTAGGAAAAAAACCTATTTGATTAAAAATCAGTATGTTTTTCAAGTGGTACAGTTTCCTGTGAGAGGAAAGCTCTGCATTCCAGCCCAGCCTAATCCTTTCCTTCTTTCTGTGTTATAACTAAGAGACTCTCCCTTTCCTATTGCCTCCTTTGTCACGAAAAGCTTGTATGTCCTCTTCAGAAAAATCTCTTTGTTATTCCCTGTATATTTCTAAGTCCCGTTACGTATCCTTTCCACACAGCTGCACAAACCTGTTCCAGCTGCATCCCAGCCCTGGCCTCTAGCTTTATATTCAGGAGCTGTTACGCAAGAACCACCAGCTGACACACCCCCATGCCCCCATCAGCAAGTACTTGTTTGCTAGACTGATAAAAAACATTGGCTTTTTTTTAAGATTGAGAGAACACATCAGTTTTACATAAGAATACTAGTTTTTTGCTAGATGTCCAAGCAAGCTGAATGACTCATGTTTTAATTCAACTGTAACCACCAGGCTACAGGCAATTTGGTGGCAGATAACAAGCACATATTCAGCAGGTCTCAGTGAGGAAGCTGAGGGTGACTTTTGCTTTCAATCAGCCAGGTTCTTGAGAGGTATTCACAGAGATACCTGTGCACACACACCCACACACATCCCGTGTCTTCACCTACACAGAGACCTATAGTGAATATTATCCAACACAAAGCTTGTTTAGATACTTCAGTGCTTTGAGACCTCAAGTTACAGCAAACAAGTATTTGATATTTTCACAGAGAGAGGACTGCAAATACTGGTGAGTCATTAGGCATATTAGTTTATCAAGGCTATCACTGAGAAGTGGCTCGTTGCATAGGCACAACTGACTAAAGAAGGAAAACATTTGAGCATCTGGACTTACCTGTGCTGGTTTGTCCAATGCTTTTGATAACTGTTGGGTCAGCTCCCCTGTAAAAGATTCTGGAATCTTATCCTTGCTTATATTTGTGTTAACAATGAATTTAGGCATCTTTGGATCACAAGCAGGTTTTCTTTCACAGCTTTGTTTCTAACTCACCTGCAAGCTGGCTCCCCCCACTGTGCTGGTGAGCACCTCAGGAGCCTTTAAATAGTCAGTGGTACTTTCCACAGGTGCCCCGGGAGGGGTGGGAGTGCCTCGAGAGAGACAAGGCTGCATGTGCCATCTGCAGGCTGCTCACACAGACTGCCAATGGACTGTCCTGGGAGGGAACCCCGGCTTTTGCACTCTGGAAACCAAAGCATCCAAGATGACACTTCATATTTGGATACAGCCTGACTGTGAAAGCAGTGAAAAAATGAGTGTTACAGAGTTATAATGTACCTCTTTATGCAAGTCTTATAATTATTAAAAAAAAAAAAAAAAAGAGATGGATGACTCAGTTGTGAGGTCTGGAACTCTTTCTGTGGAATAGACCATAACAGAAAAACCCCAGTAGCACATGTTGTGCAGACCTTTCCTGAACCATGACTAAGTCATGACAAAAATGCCTTAAAATCAGGATCTTGATTTTCCACTGTGGTGAGCACTGGTTTCTACACGCTTGGAGAAGGCTTGTTTTCAACTTGCTCCTTTGTTGTGCAAATAGTCCCATAGCAGTCATAACTCTTGAGAGATAGGAAATCCACAGGCATTCTGACATGAGAGGCTTTTATCCAGAGTGGAGTATGTGGCAGAGCTGGGATCAGTGTTCATTGCTGCCTAGTTGAGCCTTACATGAGAGAAGTGATTTAGAGGGATCATATGGCAGTGGGCAGGGGGGGTTTGCAGTGAGATGTGTGAGGAGAGCAGGTTGAAAATGCTGATGGGAGTAAAATAAATGGTTTGTTAATCTCTCCATGTTAAAGGTGATGAGTGTCTTTATGCCCAATAGTTTCTGAGGTAAGGCCTTTTCTACTCACTTGGTTCTCCAGGCTTTGGAAAAGAGGAAGAGCTTTCCGTAGCTCGGACTAAATGTTTGTACTCTAACAATGTAATTTAAGCCAATACTTTTTAAATGGTGAAAGCCTCTGTAAGAACATGCTTAAGCTGATTTTGTTCAAGGTCAGGCCTGGGCCCTGACCAACTCAATCTAGTGGGTGACATCCCTGCCCATGGCTGAGGGGTTGGAACTGGATGATCTTTAAGGTCCCTTCCAGCCCAAGCCATTCTGTGATTCTATGGTTGTGTGGTGTATGTTGGGTTTAAGTCAGTTCCTTCACTGTAGCTCCCTTGCTGTAAAAAAGTCAGTAAATAAAAAGTCGGGAGATGAATTACTATGTGTCAGTGTTCACCTACAGCCCATGTCAGTGGATTGTGTCTCCTATATGCAAAGCATTCTGAAAATAATGAAGACCCTCAAAAAACACCAGAAGTAAAATCTGTTTCTACGAAGGGCCTTTTCAGAGCACGTTTCCTAAGTCAGTGCATTAAAAACAAACTCAAGTGACACCTGAATCTGTAAGAAGAAGAACTGTAGTTTTTAATACTGATTATTTTTTTCTTCAGTGGTTAGTGGAAAGCAGGTGGCATGACCCAAAGCTTTTAGTCACAAATCTTGTCACAAATATACTTGTTAGTGGTCACTTGGAAAAACTTAGGCTATTTCCAATGAAATTCACAGCCTATTTTTACTGCTGGGTACAATAATCACTCCTTACTTGCAGCTTGCTTACATAACAAGAAAAACATTTCCAAAACAAACTCTTTCTTCTCTGAAAACATCTGATGTAATTCCCAGAAGCTGATGTACCAGGTTGGAAATTAGTTCCTTAGACACCGGAGATGCTCTTGGGAGTGTCCTTTACTTTATAGCAGCCATTTTTCTTCTTTTGCATACAATAATATGTCAGTTTGGTAGGTCCTTCTCCCTGCCTAGAGTTACTGGGATGTTCTCCACTGAGCTTTCCATTACATCTCCAGAAGGTTTGTTGCACAGTACAATTTCACTTTCAATATTTGTTTGTGTTGTCACGCTGGAACCTTTTTTCCTCATTTGCTGTGCTAAGTTTTTAGTCCATGTCTGCTCAGGTCACCCTAAATGCCATATCTAGCTTTTCCTCTGTCTGCCTGCTAGCCAAGTACTTCAGACTTCTGTGTTTCCCCATCCTCATGACATTTAACCTTCTTAATCCTTCTTTCTCTCGGTTTGTCCTCTTAAATTATTTTACTTAGTCTTTCATATTTCTGACACTCTTCTCTGAGCTGTTTTCCAGCAGGTTCCTGGTTATGAGGTACTTCCTGCTAGTGAGGTCTCCTCTAGGAAAGGCCAATAAGAGACTGCTCAGGTATCTGTGGCACTGGGCAGGACCCTGGGAACAGGGGACACCAACTGAGGCCCAGGGCTGTGGGTCCAGGACTGTGAGCAGAGCCTCTGTGTATGTTCTTCTTTGGGCCCTGTGGACTGTTAACAGAATGTTTTAAAAATTCTTAAGATGTACTACCATAAAAGGGTTTTTAATGTGAAAAAACCCTTCATGTCTTGAAACTGAGTGGGGAAATTTCCAGCGAAAACATTTAGATATCATCCAGAAATAGAACTCTGGCATGATGAGTTTCATAGCTATTAAAAAAAAAAAAAAAAAAAAAAAAAGAAAAGGAAAAGGGAAAAGAAAAAATAAATGAGACAGAAGATCTTGCAGTCTGGTTTTAATGTTTCCTTTTTAGTTCTATTGCAACATTCTTTCCTGTCTTTTCCAAGAGATGCAAATTTCTCCTCTGAACACTCAGAGCTTCGTGCAAGCCAACTGTTCCTTAGGAAAGTTATTTTCAGTGAAGGAGGTTTCTTTTTTCCCAAAGTTTAGTTTGTTGAACTCTGCTTTTATTTCCATGATTGACTTTCCCTTGGTCTCAGGAAGATACAGGTAAATGAAAATTGCTGATAAAGCAAGAATTGCCAAAAAGATGAGGAAGCAGAAGGGTCCAAGGTTATCCTGCAAGCAGAAATGAGACACTGTAAGGAAAATAAGAATCTCATTTCTGTTTCCCTGCCTTTTAGTGCAAGCCCATGACTTTGAAATTAAAATTCAAAAGTGTACTCAGCACACAATCCAAGACAGGTATCAAACCAGAAGTTTCCACTGGCCATGTTTGACCTGAGTCCTGTTGCTGCTCCTCTGACAGGCTTGGAGAGTTCCTGAACAGGTTTGGTATTTGGACAGAGCTCTAAGCTTTGCATGTCATTGCAATTTGTTGCTGTTATTTTGCTCCCTGTCAGCATTCAGAAATGGATCCTCCTGGAAGGAGGGATCCACTTAGAGTCACTTACAACAAGCAGTGGAAAAATCATCCCAAGTACGAACAGTCCCATCCAGTTGATACAGCCAACAATCAGAAAGGCTGATGGTCTGTATGACTGGCTGAAGATTTCAACCATGACAGCTACAGAGGCTCCAGCTGAAAAAGAAAAGCCAAACACAAACCAGGCATGTTCGTTTCCTTGCTCCTGCTGAGGTTGCTCCCAATGGCAGTGGCAGATCACTGACAGGTAGAATAGGTGGCCTGTTGGTAGGTGGCCACTGCTATGAGGGTGAAAGACCTTGATTCCAGAAAGGGGCTGCAGCTGTTAATTTAGGTTTCTCTCATGTGTACTGGAATTGTTTTTCTGGTACCAGTGGGTCTGTGCAGTTCCACATTGCACTGGTAGCCATTAGTGGTGCAATGATTTATAAAACCAGCTCCCCTTTTGGCTCCTGGAGTCAGTTCCACCTGAAGCATTTTGGTAGGCATAAGCTTAGCTTGCTAGGTTAATGAAAATTATTGCTATAACATGTAGGCAAGATGAGTACTGTGACATACATTGCAATGCTTAGATTCCTGTTTTTAGCTGAGTATTTTAAAAATCATTCTGAAATTTCGTTCTCAAACCCTCTGGAGATGATACTGTGTTTTAAATTATTTAGGTCTTGTGATCAGCAATAAAATCCAAGGTGTCTATATCCTTTCCCTGTTTCCCACTTGTACATGTCTGTCCTTCCTTCCTTGATTTCCAGAACTTTTTCACCATGGCACTGGTCTGTTCTTCCTTTGCCAATTGTGTTGCTGGTACAAAATTTCCTCCCAACACAGCCATTGCTGTACTCACATGGTCCACTTCCATAGAAGACAACGAATAGGAAGATCAGGATAATGCTGAAGTAATGCATCCAGAAAAAACGATGCTGAGGGTGAGAAATGGGTGATATCAAACAGTTAGACACGTGACAGAATGGCAGAGCTCTGTATTTTCTGCCACTGGCTCAGGTTTTTGTACATATCCCGTGAGGTAAGACTGGAAAGGTGGGCTGGTGCTGAGTAAGGGGCCAGAAGGCTGCTGCCTCCTTACCTGCAGGGACAGGGTCATGGTAAGCAGTGCTAGCACAGAACACATCAGTGTGTATCCTCTCCAAAGCAGCACCTTCCTCCCAAACCTGTCTATAAGGGTGCTCTGAAAAGCAGAAAACACAAGTCATAAATCCTAGTTCTCAAATTAAATAATTCCTCCCCTCTCCATGTATTCTTTGCAGAAGACTTATATGACTAATATCCATAAATCAATGTCATTTAAGTCTCTTAATTCCTAGTGGATTAGATTAACTTTTTCAAACTAATTTATGATTAACAAAGCTGTGTTTATTAGTCAACCTTAGGCTGGTTTTAAACAGTTCCCTTTCTTGCCTGCTGGCATATGTCGAATTGTGCACACGTGCATACCCACACCTAATCCAGAACATCAGAAAATTATTTTACAGAATAAAATTTAGTCTAAAGACATACACTCATGCAAGTAATCTGGAACAAGAACTGCCTTTTATCCTGCATGTGGTTTTGCAGAACCAGGAAGATGTGTCTTAGGTTATGCAAATCTCCCCCGAGCCCAGTCATAGGAAAGGAAAAGTACAATTGTTGACCACATTAAATTTTTCCTTCAAACTCAAGTCTGAAAAGACTTACACACAGTATAGAGGATAAGCATTCACACAACCCAATTCCCAGGGATGCATATGGGATAAGGTATTCTTCAAACTTGGCTGTGTGGAACACTTCAAAAGAGTAGAAGTA